AGATAGATAGATAGATAGATAGATAGATAGATAGATAGATAGATAGATAGATAGATAGATAGATAGATAGATAGATAGATAGATAGATATACATATTATACATATAGATAGATGACATATACATACAGATAGATAGATGATGGAAGGATGGAGAGATAGATAGATAGATAGATAGATAGATAGATAGATAGATAGATAGATAGATAGATAGATAGATAGATAGATAGATAGATAGATAGATAGATCCTTGCGCTCTGTATTCCTTCAGTTACCAGTCAACCTATGAAAAAAGTTCATGCCCATGCAAATAAGGGGCTGTGTGTATATTTCAAATTCTGAGACAACGTCAATCCAAACCGATCAAATGGTTAAGTATGTAAATGTTGTTATCCTCAGGAATCTTCATAGGTGCCTCAGTTGGAGGCGCAGTCTTTATAGCTGTCATTATCGTTGTCATCGTCCTGCTGGTTAGAAGGAAAAGGAAAAGGTGAGTGGTTGCTTCTATTTCCTCGGTTTGTTTCTGTTTTCTTTTCTTTATTTTTTTTCTATTTCTTTTTCTCTCTTTCTCAACATTTTTGTCTCATTCTCAGTCTCTATCTCTCAGCGTCTATCTCTCTTTCTCTGTCTTTCATTATTATTATTATTATTATTATTATTATTATTAGTAGTAGTATTTATTATTATTATTATTATTATTATTGTTATTATTATTATTTGTGATGTAGACTTTTTGAGATGGGTAGGAAAGGTCTTTTCTTTTGTATTGCAGAGCCTTTGTTTTGTCTGGTACATCGTGATATGAGTATGTCTGTCCATAAGGTTCCTTTAGGCAGGAGCTTCGATTTGCAGTAGCTGCGAATGTACACACATCCCTCCGTCATAAGTACCGGCTGCTTTGTTTCTTATTTGCGATAGGGTAAATCAGACTCAATCCTTTAACTTCACTTCCTGACCTGATCTCGTGTTTTGCAGTTGAAGAGCTGATAACAGCAAACATCTTAAAGCAGAGTTTGTAAACTTTTTTTTTATATTATATCCAGTGCCCACTTGCAACCTTTAAGAGGCTAAAATCTTCGTACCGTCTACCTGAATGCAATCCATTAATATGTATTTCCAAGCAGCGCATAAAATAACACCTCTCTCTACCACTGCCAAATAAATTTACCGAATCGCTCACTTTGTGCGATACCGCCCAGGTTGACATGATTGGTCTAAAGGTAAATTATTGTTTTTGGATTGGCTCCACCACTTTCAGGGTGGCTGTCTCGCTGGTTGCATGACCAACTCGTGCATGATGACGCCCTTGTACTCACGGAGAGCATTCGCCTACACACAAATAGGTACGTAACTATTTCACAGTGATCAGTGTTGTTGTTGTTGGTGGTGGTGGTGGTGGTGTCGACAACGACGACAATGATGATGATTATGATTTATTTTTTTGGTTTCCTTAATGGGCCTGGTGGACTCCATTAAGAAATCTCCGAGCGAGAGCGAGGCTCTTTTTCGGTTCCTTTGTCCTCATACTCAGAGGCACTTCCACTCGTCCAAATAACTCCATTCGTTCCTGGACATTCAAACATATGTTTGAAATCCTCCTTTTCATGGTTGCATCTTCGGCAACGTTGGTTGAGCTCTTCATTCACAAAATTCTGATACCATCTCCTGCTTCAATGATGGTCCAACCGCAGTTTCGCTAGCTCAACCTGGTCCCAGCGACAAGTGATTAATATTGTTCCTGCTTATTAGAATACCCAGAATACATTTCCTCCAAGTGCTGGTACTCAACTTTGCATGGTGGGTCTCTGATTCCCCTCTTGATTATTTGGAAAGACTCACCTGTATGTTATTGGTCGTCTGTCTCCTTCAATCTCTCTGGCTTCATCGGCAGTTTGATCTGCTGCCTTATTTCCTTCGATTCCAACATGTCTTGGAATCCACTGGATCTTTATTGTGGCTGTGGTTTCACTGAACCTGCGGGGCAATCATTTACATATGAGGTGTTGCCTAGCAGTCCCTTGCAGTTGCAGAGAGACTGATTGTCAGTCAAGATCAGCACATTGGTTCTGTTGTGGCAATTGTCAACAATCCATTGTGCAGCAAACATCGTTGCCTGGCATTCCTCGTCATAAGATGATGTGAGGAATGCACTTTAATTTCTAATGTTTTCTGTTCGTGGGGGCTCATCATTCATTATCACTACTGCTGCTGCTTCACATTCGCGGTATCCTGCGATACCCGATCCATCAGAAAAAAAACCCAGCCACATCGGCACCAACCTCTTTAATTACATCCTCTGCAGCTCACGCACCTTTACAGAATCATCACCTTTGCTCTTCACTCCTCTCAATTCTGTCCTGATTTCGATTTCGCCATGGGTCTCCCATGGGCAAGCTCTCACCAGATTGATTGGCCATCGATTTTCTGCTTCAGGGGGGAGGTGGTCTGCTAGGTTGGTGCTCTTCCGAAACCAACTTTTTCTGCTTTTTTTTAGGCTTGACTGCTTGATCAAGGGCTTTCTTTCTAGAATGGCAGTCTGGCAATCGCTTAGCCATCTCTACAGACTTGAGGCATGTTCTTTGTGTATAGGTGGTGTAGTGCTCAGTTCTGGTTTCATAGCGCAATGCTTCTGTTGGTGTTTTTTTCAGCTGACTTGATACAAGGCGGAGGGCTTTGTTTTGGGTTCTGTCCAGGGCCTTTGCACTGGTCTCACTCAGCCAAGGCTACCACGCTGGGGCATCATAATTCATCTTGCTTTTCACAAACGTCTGATATCCCTCTTGCGTGACTCCTCACCCCAAAGCCATTTTCAGTTGCTGACAGCACCAATCATCTTCATTTTTGAGGCTGCACTTTTGGACACTTCTTCAATGTGTTTGTTGAAGACTAGCTGGCCATCCAGATAGACGCCAAGCAGGTCTGGAATGGGGTCGAATGGTATCTTTTCTCCTTCAATCTGAATTACTGGTTGCCACTTTTTCTCCTTTACCCATGTTGAGAAGACGCACACCTCACTCTAGGTTGCATTCAAGGTAAGTTTCCTTTCATTGCTCCATTTCATAACAGTGTCCACAATCATATGTGTCGCTTCATTTGCCTTTTCTCTGATATGATGATAATGATGATGATGATGATGATGATGATGATGATGATGGTGATGGAAAAAGCGGAGGAAGTAGGAAAAGACTTGATTGAAAATAATATGTCAGTAAATATGAATTTTTTAAGAATTAAAAACATTTTTGTTTTTTCAAATAGCTCAATGATTCGCCTCAAAATATTTTTAGGAGCAACCATGTATATGTATTAAGGAAAAAGACCTAACAAATGAGGTCTTAAAGTTACATGTAGTTACAAGGTGGCCAGACGTGAATCAGTGTAAAGGTTGTTTTTTGTGG